GTGCGAGAAAGCTGTCGGATGTGTGAAGAGGAGGCCAAGAGAGACTGCGTCCTAAAACCCGAAAGTAAGCTGCGCATTGGTTCCCTCCACAAAATAGCAACTGCAGATTTCGCTTCATAAGGATTTTGAAATAGGCTTCAAAATAGAGATCTGTGGATACGTACCGCTATAAATGCCGGTTTTCAGTTCAGCCGATAATATCCATGTCTACCCTATTTTAATCATCCTTCGAATCATAACATCTATGACTTCGCAATTTATGAATCAGACCCTTTTGAACACTACAAGAAGATAAGGAGCTTTTGCAGTATAAAGTAATAAAGAAATGTTGTCAGAAAGGATAAGGCAAAATTGGACTTCATCTTCCAAGTTGAAAAGCGGGATCTTACTAAGAGAGAACAATTCAATATTTAAATGATAATAATTACATTGTTGCTATCCTTTTGGTTGAACTGAATGTTTAAAATTAATCGAAGCATCAGACAAAAAAGCTTTTGAAACAATATTATATTTTGATTTTAGGTCAAAATACCTGAACCTCACTGCAGAAGCTTATAGACATCTAAGTCTTTTTGTGCCCCACCAACTTTTGGACATGTAAAAACTAGGGGCTGTCGCTCGATTTAAATATTTAATCGCGATTTAATCGCCAAATGTTTTATCTGTTCTAAATGTACCTTAGAGATATATTTTTTCAAGTTTGTAATACTCTTATCAACATATGAGTGGACAAATATGCTTTCTGCAAATGTTTTACTTATCATTTGAACAATGACAATCACTATCATGAATATTAAACACAACAACCTCTTGACCATTACAAATATTCACCTCAATTCAATGCTGAACCGTCTCTCCATACATATACAATACAAAGTGTGTGTGTGTGTGTGTGTGTGTGTGTGTGTGTGTGTGTGTGTGTGTTGTGTGTGTGTGTGTGTGTGTGGTGTGTTTGTGTGTGGTGTGTGTGTGTGTGTGTGTGTGTGTGTGTGTGTCGATGGATCGTTGGGCTATGTGTAAACTCAAGGCATATGCTCGAACGGGAGCTGCCTGGACGCTGACAATCATGTTTGCGCGCACTATCCGTGCTGAGTGTGCTGACTTTCCCACAATGTCCCGCTGTCTGGCTGCCTGGCATAAAGTCAAGTTGCTCGGCGCAATTTGTCGGCCGTAATGTCGCTCCTCTGTTTTCATTGAAACGGCTCCTTATAATAGCGTTAAAGGCGCAGCTAGCTAGCAGCCCAGATGCTAACCAACAACAACAACACAATACACGTAAGGTCTCTAAGTCGCCTCCCTATCCTCTCTCTCGCCACACATACAACACACCCACCCGGTCCTCGCGGATCGCCAGTTCGGTGCCTGCCGGTGAGCGTGGAAGTGTGGTCTGCCGCAAGCGCCGGCGTCAGGAGCCGGGGCTGTCTCATTCAGCTTGTAGATGGTATTTTAACAATTGATGCGCTCTGAAACTATGGGTCGCCGGCCGACGGACAAAAAATACACATGGTTAATCGCGTTAATATAATTAGTTGGCTTATTTTTTTTTTTTTTGCGATAACCATTAAGCGCGTTAACTTGAGACAGGGCCTAGTAAAAACGCCACTGTTCAAGGTGAAGCCCAGTACTCCTAACCTGAAGATAAGAAAGCTAGTGCCTCCCCGGAAAGGTCTTAATATCTATATAATATTCAGCATTTAATGGGGCCGGCAGAGTTTTCATCAGCAGCACGGGGTAAAGACCACCAAATGAGGCGCTCAACATCAAGATATTCCAATGCGAGTCGTTTCACATCAAGGCATTCGCCTCCGGCAGCCCGTGGAAAGGAACTGAGCAGGCCTGGTAGCAGCCTGGCCGCGGCCTCGCTCTCAAAGCTGCGGGCGTCTTGTGTCCCGCGAGATTTCAACGTTGCATGTGAAGGGCCGAGCTCACAGAGCAAGTCCGGACAAAATGACTAACCATCATGGCAACGCATGAGCAAGACATTGAATCGAAATTGCGCGGTCTGCGAAGCGTCTCGCTTTGTCTCTCAAAACAAGCCTATAATGTCGAGCCTACGCGACCGGCCCACATCGTCGGCGATGCAGCCTCACTTCAGTACCCGCGGACATCGGGATTGCGTGCCCGAACACGTCCCGATGGACAGTCCGACCCCTGCCCACTCGATGTTTAATTGATCTAACTGAAAGACTGAAGGCCTGCCAAACGTAGACATTCATGAGCGCACGTGACATTGCAAACCTCCCGCGAGAGTTTTACACTAGACGGATCGCTTTTAGTCATAACCGGGTAGAAGAGATCGATTATTGGCTTGCCCTTGGCTGTTGTCAGTCCCTGAGTCTTCTCCTATTGGCCGGCGTTCGTAGTAGGGGCGGGTCCAATGCGGAATTCCCAGCCTTGTATCTACTGTTGCTAAATTAGCACATTCTGCGTGTATTGTGCGTTATAGAGAGGCGAAGTCCCGCCCATCTACTTCCGACCCATGGGACCCCGGAAGCGGAAAATTATACATTGAAGTCAATGGAGAGAGAAAAGTCATCTTTCGATCCCGTTTGAATTGTGCCACGAATGACACATATGATGTTTGTCAAATTAAAAGAACATTTTGCAAGTCCAAAAAATAAAAAATGTGTCGTAAACTGTGAAGTTACACATTTTTTTGTGTGAAACCGCTCAGTGAACTACAGGTCTCTGGTCTCGCACAATACGCGTCACCATCACAAAGATGGCCGTCACGTTAGCAAATTTCACCTCTTTCTTTCAGAATGAGGCGAAAAAGTATAAAACGAGGTGAAAATCACTACAAGTCTGGGCATGTTGAGAGCTGTACATACACGAAAAGGGAGTTAGTGAGTTCTGTAAGAGCCAGAATGCTGGACCAGCTTTACAAGGTTTCAGTGAGTAATATTAGTGCAATGTTTAACGTTAATGTCAGCTAGCTAACATTAGCTAACAAGGTAGGCTACACCAACGTGTTTTGTTTTAGCAACTATTTTCTCCTTAAGAACTTCGTGGTCTCTGTGTATGCTGTGGATAACATTAGTGTTCACAAGAACAAGATACACTCCCGTGTTTTGTTTTAGTTGCTCTTCAGATTGAAGCGGCCAGTTTTATATCGACTATATGTGTGATCTCCTTTTTACATCTCGTTGTGTCATTTGAGTTTATTTGCTGTGTGTAGATTCAAGGATTTTGGTTATCTTGTCAATTTGTTTGGTTATCTAGGCACAGCTGTGTGTGACTCCCTCTGGTACACTGGTATGTGTTTTCCTAATGTAGAGAGCATTGATTAATTAATAAACTACACACTGACTCTAGATCCTGACCAAATCCTTTTTTGTTGATCAAATGTTTTTCAAAAATGTATTGTATATTATATAACAGCTGCACTTCACAGACCGGAGTATCTGCTACTGTGGACCACGAAGGAGGCGATCATCATCCCCATCCCCAAAGACCCTGCATGGCATGGAAATCTCCTCCTCCTGGAAAAATTCTACACCCAGCATATGCTCCCTGTGTTGGCCAGTAGAGAGGAGGACATTTAAATAAACATACTCTTAACACCCTCGGACTCTGCGTTGTGTTTCGTATGTGTGATGGGGTGTTATGCAGAGGGGAGGAAAACAGGACACAGCAGATTGGGATTATGGTGGAGATGCTGAGCAGTTATTTAATTGTTGCATGTAATTATTATTATACTGCGTGCTTCTTAGTTATTCCATCTTTTGCTGTAACATGGATCTGTATGTAACTCTATATTTACTTGTTATCTACCACACTTCCTTCTACATCATACACCATCATTATACATGGTGTATATAGGATATATATATATATATATTTGTATACATATCTGTAAATTGTATAATTTTATTTTTGGTATTTCTCTTTTGTCCACTCAAATACACTTGGCCCTTTCTCTTTTCCATGTGGAAAATGGCAGCTGCATATTCTGCTTTTCTCATCTGGCTCCCTGTCTGCTCGTCTACAATGAGACAATTATATAATTAATTACTAATAATCATTTAAACCTGTTATTACCAATATTTCACAAATTCTTCATGTAAACTTAAGAGCACAGCTGTATGTTGAGTGTCAACTTTGCTTGGTTCATCTTACTGGGGGGCAGCTACATGGATGTCGGTGCAGTCCACAATAATTTTGCAGTTGAAGGCAGAATGAATTTATTATTGACTCAGAATGAAGCACAACTTCATGTCATACAATACATTGACTTTATTTGTGATTGTGTAAAAAAATATGAGCATTGATTACCAAGCAGGACCTGCAGGAACAGAGAACGGTGATGGATGGAGCTGGGAAGAGAGAAGAATAAAGAAAACAGATCAACTTTATTATCGGATATTAAAAATTCAATTTCAAAACAAGTTGCCGCTCCTACAGTTTTCTAGTATGTAAAGATGATTTCACATGACCAATGCAAAATATCACACTCATCTCTGCATTTGATGTATATAAATAATATACCATAACCAAATACTATTACGTACAGTGGAAATCAGGTTGCCAGAGCAGGTCAGTCCAGTGTGCATGTTCCTCAGGGTCTCAGCAGTTACAGGTGAGGTAAAGAAAATAAAAGAGAAAAAGGTCAGTAACAACCCTTTAAAGTAACAACACTGAATAATTATCTATTTTAATAATTTTCTCTCAGTAATCACTCAACTACTGTCTTTCCAACAAACAGATTGACTCACTCTCACTATCATCACAATGAAACACGTCCAGAAGAATGTCATGCAAAGCTGCCTGCCTTCCTTCCTTCGACTCTCCCTGAACTGCCTGATCTTTTAATGTTCAATGTTAACCATTTGTGCAGATAGCATTAAGTAGAAAAGATCGCTGATGCTAATGTTGCGTTAGCCTACCTCCCGCCCCCTTAGCACCTGGTGGAGGGGGCGATAGGCTACTCTTCAAATGTTTCACAAAATACTTACCATCATGACTACTCTTAGTGTTTAACATTTTGGTTTACTTCATGTTAAGGCTAATACAAATGACAAGGCTAAGTAATGTAATGTAATGCTAACTAACATGCTCGCTACTAGCTAGGTAGCTAACTTGACTATGTTCCATGCAAAACATGTATATTACCTGATATGTTTGGTCCAACGACTCCTGGTCCTTTCATCAGACGGGAAGGATAGAACGAGCAAGTGGTATGATCACTTTTGTGATTACAACCTGGTACAAAGCACACAGGCATCTTGTAAAAGTGAATTTATTGGAGCAATCTCTTATATTTATTGGAGGGAATAAATCAGTCTTCTTCTTCTTCTTCTTCTTTGCTTTCATTGCGAGATCTTCTTCTTCTTCTTTGCTTTGCGAGTCGCAACCAGTCTTGGAGCATTATCGCCTATGACATCAATTACGCGACCCAGAATGCATTTGGGATTTGTAGTCTTTCTAGTTGCGTATTTTTCATAGTCTTATATTTCAACAGTTTTACGACAAACTGTGACTTTTTTTACATGGAAATGATTGTTTAAGATTGACAAACATCATATGTGTCATTCGTGGCACAATTCAAATGGGATCAAAAGATAACTTTTCTCTCTCAATTGACTTCAATGTATAATTTTCCGCTTCCGGGGTCCCATGGAGGCTCCCGGAAGGGGAGGGACTTCGCCTCTCTATCGAATCATATGCCAGTACAAGCTCTAGCCGATCAAACCGCTGCTTGTGTGTCAGGGGCGGGAGATTCATGTGATTGGTTGTTGGTCGAGTTTCAGACACGCCCGCCGGCAAGCGTCAACGCACGCCGCTGTGTGGACGGTCCGTTACTCTGAAGTAAGGCAGTCCCTCGCATGCCGTAAAGCATGTCGCAACACTGTCATAACTCTGTCTTAACTCTGTATTGTATGCATATGTGACAGATATATCTGACTTTGCAAGAAACTACATTTTTCAATCAGGTAGAAAGAGTTGATGTGCTAAAAGCTATTTTTCCTTTTTATTTTGGAAACCATGTTCAACTAAATATTGATCATGGCCGAGCATTTTTATATACTGATACTTCTACTAACTACTAAATCTTAAGATGTCATGGCAATTCATCCAATAGTTGTTGAGATCTTTCACAAAAACTCACACAATATGGTATTGCCATGATATAGCTTTCCTTATACAATAAATACTCTCTGCTTCCTGTAGTTTATATCAAACATGCCCTTTTTCAAAAGGCGGGCTATTTAAAAATCGAAATGCCACACCAACTCTGCTATGCTGCTGCTATCCACTGGTTCAACTTCTGCTAGCATGCTAACTGTAGCCTATACTTTTATTTCTCAACATTACATCCCAATGCTGTTGATTCAGCATGGTTTGGAGGAGGATTCTATGTCTATGCTACTGCCTGGATTTAGCAACCCTGTCGATTAGCTGTTGGTCATATTAGCTGCAGGCCTCAAACATTCACCTGAAGCTGGAGTTTCCTGCCCTGCTCTTGGATGTCTGGGACCTCACACCCTGCCTCACTTCATAAAGCTAAGTGCTATTTGGTTTTGTTGTTGCCGCTTACGTGCTTATTTTGAATTGATGTCTTGGCTCTGTCCAGTCTGTTTGTGTGCTTGAGAATGTCAGCAATCTGTGAGTTGTCATTGGGGTTTATTGTATCTTCTCTTGTGCTGCTGCAATGTTTGCTTTGGTTTTGGTTGTTGCATTCATTTTTTTGTTCTGGCTGAACTTTGTCATTATTTGATAGTTGTTGTTCATGTGTGTGATGCTTTTAATGCTCTTATTTGGTGTTTTAATGTGAATATACATGCTTGCTTGATTGTTCTGGCCTTGCACATAGGACCTTTTTAAATTGTTGCTTTTGATTCAATAATGAGTATTGTGAAGTAAGTGGTTGATTAGATTGGTTTTAGAAAATGTAAATAATATTTACACAATGCTTTCTTGACTGTTCACATCATTCTTAAAGGTTTACATTGGTTTAATTGGATTTCCATTGCTTTTGACACTCAGAAAGATGGATACAAGGTTCAAGATTCAAGGTATCCCAAGATATCTTTTAAGTAAAACGCTGTGGGTTTATGTGTGAATTTACTATCTTTTCTGATTACTGTAATTGCATCTTCAGTGATGTCCTGAGCATCTGTTCTGAGTTACACTACACTTACACTGACACACGCTTAATGCCAAATCTACACTTTATATTCTGACAGTCATGCTGCCTTGCAACACTTCATTCAAGCAATGAATTCCTGTGAATGTAATGTGTTGGAAACTAATTACCTGGGGTTTGACGTGTCTTCATTTGGTGCTGTTTATCAGATGGGTTGTTGGGTTTCGGATGGGTTCATATTACCAGGCTAGATGGCCCATCTTTCTATATTGGTTGGTTGGAAGAACTTTGACTGAGACTGGCCACAGAGCAGCTGCTGTAAAGCCCACATGTATTTCATAGCTGTGTATCTTATGTGGCTTTTCCCAATCTGTTGATTTTGGTTTTTGCTTGTGTTGTTAGTGTATTCAACCAATTCATCCAGGTAAACTTGAATTTTCTGACAAAAGACCTGCTGCTCAGGGCACGCCACCAACCATGTCAGTGCCAACATTTCAGTTTTAGACTGGAATTTCTTCATGTGTGATCATCGCTGCATGCTAATGACTCAGAAGGCTTGATCTGAAGTGACATTTTCAAGTGACATTTTAAACTTCGGGGTACATTATGCGCCTAGTGTTACATTTTGGCCTGCCGGTGCCTGCAAGTGCCCTCGAGCAAAACTCTGCATCCTGTCCTAAGGGACATGAAAGGGAGCATAATATGTGGGTCTTCAGCAGGAATTTGTAAGATGCAAAAATACGTTTTCCTCATGTTGAACACAGTCAAGTTGTTATTTATTTTTGATTAAAAATAAAAAATACATTAATTACATATTTAGAAAATATCTCAATTATTCACTTTTATTAGAATAAAGCTTGAGATGCTGTTCTCTGAGGAGTCATTGTACATTCTAAGATTGTACACTGCACTCCACTACATATATTTGACCTATAACAGTTTCCACACTCTGTTTCTAATCTGGTTTCTAACCACACACGTACACATGCTGGGTGTGAAAACCATCACATCCACTTGGACTTTTGACCCTTTTCTCTTTGTGTGCATGCACAATACATAAGAAAGGGTACATGTTTTACGTTTTTGGATATATTTGTGTTATCAAGTTTATTTTACTTAAGTAGTTCCATTTTACTTTCTGATTTTACCCATGCTAGCAGTGTGGCTTTAGGGGTGGCAATGTCAGTCAGCCAGTCCACCGCCTGAAATATTTGAACAATCGTATGAACTGCTGTAAAATGGAACAAAGAAGATTACATCTACACTACTGTATGCATTATTTTGATCCTCTGACTTTCCTATTAGTGCCACTATGATTTTAACATTTGTGGTTTTTAATGGAATGTCTTGACAACTATTAACTGGATTTTTATTAAACTTTTTCTGGTGTCATCAGGTCAAAAGTTTTCTTTCTTAAAAGCCTTTTGTTTACGACCAATTACGTGCAATCATTTTATTTTCAGTCTCAGCTGTACTATGTTTTG